CAAATAGAGAGTAGGTGAGTAGATCCTTAGCCTATTTCCTAATGGGGGTAGACAATCATGTCATAATCTCAATTGCGAGGACATATCAATGTATTTTTTGGTCACTTTATACTAAAAAATTAGAATCATGTTAGATCGCATCAAATAGTGCTTCCAACTCCCAAATTTCAAATCACTCATTTTTAATTGCTTATATATATAAGGTTTTAGAAATATAGTAACGTATGTATAATCTTTACAATTATGTCTGTGAAGAAATTAAAAGTAAAATCGGTAAAAGTTGAAAACACCATATATCTTGCTCCTCACTTGGTGGGTCAAACCTTAATTTTAAATGCACGATTTTGATCCAATACTTGTGTCGATATCGATCAATATGGTTCTCGAAGCTAATATTCTTGTTCCGGTATAAACCAAAAATCGTACCCACCAAGTCACTATTTCACAAGATATAGAAAATTACTTTATATTAATATAATCAGACAGATGTAAGTGAGATTGTTAAGCAGATGACCGTTCATAGTTTATTTAGATTGAGGACCTACTCATCACATCATTTATGACATTAAGAAGTGGCGAAGGAAGTACATGAGGATCGAGATCACATATTTCATGAGGAAATTTTTGTGAGAACCAAAAATCATTTAAAAAATAAAAATAAATGATAAAACTAAAAAAACAAAAAATATTCTTGCGAGAAAAAGAAAAAACGATGTCTTGTGGATATGAGTGTAAACAAACCGAATCGAATCGAATAGCGAGATATTTGAATATATATTTGTTTAATTTTTTCGAATACGAATCCGAATACGAATATGAGACGAATTAAAAATAAGATTTGAATTTGTATTTGATTAATATTCGAATACTTAACGAATCATAAACGAATATTTTAATAATCATACTCCGTAATTTATATGATGGACCAACATAGATTTTGAATAATTTAACTTACGATACTTCTTATACTATATCGATCTAAAAACATTAATACATTTTCATCTTACACAAATTATATTTTATAAAATATACGGAGTAACTCTTAAAAATCATATGCTTTAGGTTTTCGTGTTACCTTAATTTATTGAGTTCTTAGTAATTTAAATACATTTTATACTATATTAGTTTGCTTGACTATGATGTTGAACCATGGTTTGTGTGTATATACATATATTCGAATATCACCCGAATCGAATATATTCTGATTTGTATTTGTATTTGTTTAATATTCGAATCAAAACTAATATTTGAATTTGAATTTGAATAATGCGAATTCGAATCATTATACTCGAATACAAATTACGAATCGAATTTAAAGTATTTGATTTGTTTATCTCCCTATTTGTGGATAGGCAGGGACGGAAGGGCCGGACAACGCCGAATGGGCCGGACGCTCTGATGCGGAGAGTCTAACTAAATGTTCTGAGTTTCATTACCTTCATATTATTGCTATCTTATTTGCATAAATTTTAATCGCAATTTTTTTTGTTATATCATTTGCATGATTGTTTTATGTGAAATTTGCACAGAGTAGTACTAAAATATATGTTCTTTCTCAATGTAGTATTTAAACTTTTTTTATTTTCTAAATAGTACTTAAATAATGTCTAGTAGCAAAAACAATGTTCAGTTATGTTGGACATTTAATTTGAACAATATCTAGTGAAGATATACATTTATCTGAACAATGGCTACAAGACATTGAATAGTGGTACTATACCGGAAATTTACTACCCGGAGTATATTATTTTAATACTACTCCGTAGTGAGGTAAATTCTTTTTTAACTTGCCACTAATTAGCTTTAGAACTCCGTACGATGTTGATTAGCGAGCTAGATAATGGAACCCACCCAAACCGTATCAAACTTACTCCGCAATAAAGAATTTGCAACGGCCAAACATAATTGGATAAAGCTACGGAGTATTTGTTTATCAAGTACGGAGTAACTCATTTTGTACACTTCAGGAATGTATCAACATTTTGATTTCGTGTTGATGTAATGCTAATTTTTGTTAACGCACCAACACTTTGTGTCAGTGTAAATTTTTGTTAACACACCAATACTTTGTGTTAGTGTGAATCATCAAAGTATTGGTACATATCTTTGATATACAAATGTAGTACAAATTTTGGGATATATGTAGCATGTTCCAACATTTTTTGGCAAAAGTATGGCCTCTCGAATAAAAATATAAGGACCATGCTATACTTACACCAAAAATTGTACCCCATTTGTACACCGCAGTTATACACAAACATTTTGATGGTTTACACCGACAAAAGTGTTGGTGCATTAACAAAAATTTACACGGACACAAAGTGTTGGTGCGTTAACAAAAATTAGTTTTACACCAACACAAAATGTTGGTGCAAACCTGCGGTGTACAAATGGGGTACAAAAGCTTGGGGTACAAATAACTTTATCCAAAATATAATACTCTGTAAATGATTAGTATGGAGCAAAAAGTAGCCTCATGGATGGAGAACCTTTTCTATAAAAATTAAAATAAACATATAGAAGATTTATACTTTCTCCATCCCCAATTTAATTATAAATTGGAGTTTACGAGAAAAAATATTTCACTTTTTGAAATCATTTTATTTACAATTCAGTATATCAATAAGAAATTAAAATTACGTATAAAAGAATTACGTCAAAAGTTCTACAAAACAAGAGGCGACAAGAATATTTAATTTTATAAAATACTTAATGAAATCGCGTAAACAGACAAAAGTTATCGAGAATAAAGAAATAAAATTATAATCAAATTGAGAACGAAGAGAGTATATTTTTTGAAAATTTTATTTGTGACTCTAAAATTATATTGAAAAGAAAAATATAATTTTTGAACACGACGGAATAGGATAGTTATTCTTACCAACTAGTATCACACCCGTGCGTTGCACGGGTCATAGTTATGGTACTAAATTAAGATCATTTTTAGAAATATAAATTGGTATATAATGGAATATAGAAATTTCATTATTTTAAAGTACAAAAGTAAAATGATTTGCAAATTTCGAAAGACTTATTTATAAACTACATCACTCGTATAATTCGTGTGAGCATTTACTTCGTTGTATATCAGAATCTTCAAGTTATTGTGATTTATTACTCTTGAAACTGTAACAAACACTTGCCCATGACTAAATACCGGTTTCCGTAATAACAATAATTTAACATGTTTCAGATATTGTCCCTGACAATAATTCAATAATTTGACTTATTTAAATAATAATTCAACATATTAATGTATCTATTTCGGAATTTTTATTTTTTAGTTTTATTTTCGTATTTAAATGGTACCATTTACTTACCCTATAATATTTATTTTCTATTTTATTTTAGATCACTTACGATTTTATACTTATCCATGCTTGTAAATTATAGAATTAATAGTATTAATTTTAGAATACTTACCATTGTTACATGTTTCCATGCTTATAGTATTAATACTATTAATTTATAATTTTTTTATTTTTGCATTCAAATGGTACCATTTACTTTATGTACCATATTTATCTTTAAATTTATTTTATAACACTTACCATTTTAACATGTTTCCATGCTTGTAAATTTTAGCATTAATTGATAGTAAAAATTTGCAGTTTTTTATTTTATTTTTGTATTTAAATGGTATCATTTACTTACCATACCATATTTATTCTCTATTATATTTTAGAACACTTACCGTTTTGATATTTATTTTATTTTCTAATTTATTTAAAACACTTACCTAATTTATTTTAGAACACTTACCATTTATTCTATTTTTGTGTTTAAATGGTACCATTTGCTTATCGTGGTGACATACTGTATTGTATTTATTTTCTAATTTTCTCATTAGAACACTTACCGTTTTCAAAACATTTTCATGTTTATAAATTATAGTATTAATATTAATTTTGCAGTTTTTTTATTTATTTTCATATTTAAATCGTACTAATTACTTACCAAACCACATTATTTTCTAATTTATTTTAGAACACGTATCATTTTTAGATGTATTTTATTTTTTCTTTTATTTTAGAACACTTACCTAATTTATTTTATAACACTTACCATTTATTTTATTTTTGTTTTTAAATGGTGCCAATTGCTTAACGTACCATACCTATTTATTTTTCTAATTTTTTAATTAGAACATGTGTCATTTTAAAATGTTTCCATGCTTGTAAATTATAGTATTAATATTAATTTGTAGTTTTTTTATTTTATTCTTGTATTTAAATGTTATCATTTACTCACTGTACCATATATATTTTCTAATCTATTTTAGAAAACTTACCATTTTTACACGTCCGTGTTTGTAAATTGTAATAAATAATTAATTTGTAGTTTTTGAAATAAATCATTTTAATCCCGCTCATACTTTATTAATTAAAAGTTTTTTAATTTTATTTTAATATTTAAATGGTAGTGTATTTTATTTCCATACTTTAATTCCCCAATGGTTCACTACTATTTAAATTAATTTAATTTAAATATTTAAACAGTGTAACATTTAAATAAAAATGAAAACATACTTAAAATAGAAGGAAAACAATAAGGCCAAATAATTAAACTATCATTTATGTTGTCAACACTTTCTATATATGAGTCTCATTGTTAGGCGGGAAAACATTCACTTCTTTTTAAATAAAGTATAGATTACCATACACAATTACACATCGCCGTAAATGGTTTCCAATACGTGTCATTTACGCGGGGGGGGGGCAGACGCGTCACCCTCCAGTCCCTTATCTCCACGTCACCCTTACTCATTAGCGGCCGAGATCTCGTCTTTCATCTTCGAATCCAACGGCGGAGAGCTCAATCTTCCAGACGTTTCCCTCAAGCCACTGTGACGACATTTAACCATGGTTAAATATTCACTCAACCCCGATTCACTTTCTCCTCCACTGTACGGACTCTATATTTCTAAAATAAATCCTCTGTCCCCCCAATGAATACACACACCGCAGTATATAGATAGGTATACAGAAACACAAGTTTTCCTGGTTAGTAGAGAGAGAGAGAGAAAGAGAGAGTGAACGAAGCTTCTTTTAGAGAGAGAAACTCAAGACTGGAGAATTAGGGGTTTTTCGCTCTGCTGAATCCGCGCTGTATGTGTTGACGGACCTTTTTATTCCGAGTTTTTGAGGAAGGAGGAGGGAGCTTTGAGGATCCTTAGCCTTTCTACGCCTCAGATCTGAACGCCAGGTGATTATGTTCACTTTGATTCTCTCTTCGCCTGTTGATTTTTCTTCGATCGGCTATTGAATGTCGGCTGATCCGCTTTGAATGATGGAGTTTGATGCGTTATTTATTTATTTTGCTAAAAACGTGATTATGCGCGATTTATAGAATTGTTATAGGACAGTTACTGCGTTTTTCGTTTGTATTCTAATTTAAGTGGAAAATAATCTAGAATGTAATTTAGTTAAATAATACTTGTTAAATCCTTTCAGTAATGTCAAAGTATTTATTATAGGGATTGTAGTAGCTAAAATTGTCCAATGTTATGAAGGTTTTTTTTGTAACGCTCGATTATCAGATGGCTTTGATAAGAAGGAAAGGCTGGATATAGTTTTAGATGTTGTATTTAATTGTGATTTCCTGCTGTGGCAACTCTCCTGCGTCTTTTGTTTCTTGGATTTGGAACCTAGAACACTTTTCTCGCTGCGTAATGAGGATCTGCACACTGTTACAGATTAGATTTTTGATGCTCTTATCTCTCATACGGTTTTCCTGCTTCGTTTTTTTTGTTGATTTTTACAGATTGATGGTTGCTTCGGTCTTCAGTAGGCAAATGGCTCTTTCGATGTAGAAATTTGGATACGTTCACTTTCTCTCTTCCTGTGTTCTGCCATCATCTGTTTTGTGATATCAGTGATTATTTTTGGTTCGCACCTGTGTGCCTCTTTTATGATTGTTTCTGGATTGAGTGACTTTTTGGCTCAATCACAATCGGCTTCTGAGTTGGGCTCTCGATTGAGAGTGCGGGGTAGGCTACTCTCTGCTGTTTCCATCTCTGTTGCCGATTGTGAGATCTGTATTTTCCGTCTTGTCTTCTCATGTCTCCTAACCTAGACAGCCCTGTTCAGACCCAAATGGCCGTGGTACCTTTACGAAGCCCACTTGTTGGGGAATACCCAGGAAACAAGAGGATGGAAGCCAAACCTACTACTGGAAGGAGACGTGTATTCGTGCAAACTGATTCAGGCTGTGTTCTGGGTATGGAGTTGGATCGCAGTGACAACGCACATACTGTGAAAAGGAGATTGCAGATCGCTCTCAATTTTCCGATTGAGGAGAGTTCCTTGACTTTTGGTGATATGGTCTTGAAGAATGACCTAAGTGCGATTCGGAATGATTCTCCTCTTCTTCTGACTAGGAACACTTTGCATAGAAGCTCATCAACACCCTGTCTTTCTCCCACTGGGAGGGATATCCAGCAGAAGGATTGGAGTGGCCCTATTGAGATATTGGGGAAGTCTACTAGCTTTGCCAAGACCAAACAAACTGTCAAGGAAATTGTTAAGGCAATGAAAGCAGGAGTTGAACCCCTTCCCGTCCATGGTGGACTTGGAGGGGCTTATTATTTTAGAAACAGCAGAGGCGAGAGTGTTGCCATTGTGAAGCCAACAGATGAAGAACCATATGCACCCAACAATCCGAAAGGATTTGTTGGCAAGGGTCTAGGCCAACCGGGTTTGAAAAGGTCTGTTAGGGTTGGCGAAACGGGATTCAGAGAGGTTGCTGCGTATCTTCTTGACTATGATCATTTTGCTAATGTGCCGCCAACCGCATTGGTGAAAATCACACATTCAATATTTAACGTGAACGATGGTGTGAACGGAAACAAGCATAACAACACCAACAACAACAACAACAAGCGTTTTGTTAGCAAGATTGCATCTTTTCAGCAGTTCATCCCTCATGATTTTGATGCCAGCGACCATGGAACCTCAAGTTTCCCCGTTTCTGCTGTGCATCGGATTGGGATATTAGATGTTAGGATTTTTAACACAGATAGACATGCGGGGAATCTTCTAGTCAGGAAAGTTGATGGTATGGGTGGGTTTGGTCAGGTAGATCTCATTCCCATTGACCATGGCCTCTGTTTGCCTGAAAACCTGGAGGATCCTTATTTTGAGTGGATTCATTGGCCACAGGCTTCCATTCCATTCTCTGACGATGAGCTTGATTATATAGATAGACTTGACCCTATAAGAGACTCTGAGATGCTTCGATCTGAGCTACCCATGATCCGTGAAGCTTGTCTTCGCATCTTGACCCTCTGCACCATTTTCCTCAAGGAAGCTGCTTCTTATGGACTGTGCCTTGCTGAGATTGGCGAAATGATGAGCAGAGAATTCCGTAGCGGAGAAGAGGAACCGAGCGAGCTTGAATTCATCTGCATTGAGGCCAAAAGGCTTGTTGCTGATAAAGAATTCCCATTGCTTACCGCCGGAGTCGATGATGACGAGTTTCAGTTCGATATAGACTGTGAAGACAGCTCAGGATTTGACTTTAGTCCAAAAATGGCCTTCACTGATTTCACTTCAAAGAATCCCTTTCACACTTCACTGTCAAAACTGGAAGAAAGCATGGAGGAGGAGGAGGAGGAAGAAGAAGAGGGCAATAATAAGATCCCTCCCCATCTTCTCAGGTCTTCTTCTACTACCAAGAACGCGACCGTTTCAAAGCTCTCCATGTCTCTCAAGAAAACCAGTCTCCTAGGGACAAAACAGGAAAGCTCATCATCATCTGGCCACCACCGCAGCGCAAACGAGCAGCTTCCAGCGAGTGCCAATTTTGTCAAGCTGTCCGACATGAACGAGGAAGAGTGGGCCCTGTTTCTAGAGAAGTTTCTAGAGCTGCTCCCCCCGGCCTTTGGGAAGCGGAAGTCTGTGGCGCTCGGCCGGGGGCAGAGGCAGAGGCTTGGCACTTCATGCCAGTTTTGAAGGCGTCTTTTTTTACCGTCTCTTTTTACCATCAGAGGACTGGGGAATAACTGAGGACTTCTCCAACTTGTGAGAGTGAAAGAAGGATGTGTTTTTCCCATTTCCACCCTGGAGATGAAGAGGACTGTGAGGACCCAGAGGAGTGGTAGTGTTTTAGTAGGGTTTTGTAAATATTGGTGGAGGGGGTAGTGGTTTGGTGAGAGAGCCGTTTATTTCTTTCTTACACTTTTTCTTTTCTTTCTTTCCTTTGGCTTTGTTACCGAGAACTGCCGAGGCATGTTGGATAAATAATATGGACAACTCTAAAAAAAGGTTATGTAGATATATATGTTTGGTCTGTTTTTGCTTTATGACGTTTCTAAATATCTTGTTTGAAGTCTTAAAGTGTATCAATTCTTGTCACGCAAAGGACGCACAATTTAGATTTTTAAGGTGTTAAAAGTCCCCACTTGAAGCATGCTTTCACCACCGGTCAAAACTCTTCTTTTTATGCAACGTTTTGGCCGGCCCTCCACTCTTCTCTTTTTGATTTTCTTCAATGTTTTTTGAAGTTTATATGTATGGAGCAATGTTACATGGCTAGGTCACTTTTTTTAAAGTTGGAATTGACAATTATATGATGTAGGGTACATTAAATTAATGCCCCATAAAATAAATTAGCACTATTTTAAGTTTAGTTCAAATTATGTATAAATAAAAGGTTCCTATCAATTGTTTTGTATTGCTCCCGCCCCATCAAGGTTTCAAATCCAAGTTGGACCATAACAAAGATAAGGTTTTGGGGATGTTAGTGCAAGTCCTTTTCCTCGATTGTCAATTTCTGATGGAAAATCATGACCAATCTCACATATTTGGTGTGTGTTCATAGATGATGTTATCATCCTTCAGGTTAGGTCCCTCCTCAAATAACACACTACTCATACATATAAAGGCATGTATGTAGGTATGTATGTTTCTATGTAAGGCCTATGAGGAAAGAGAAAAATTTAAAATCAAATTTCAAGAATAATTCAACATTTGTTTTTGTTGGGCACTCGTCCTATATTAAGAATTCATTTTGGAGTTTGTCACTTTGAAGACATACCTCTAGTTTTTAAAGTATTTCCCCCCATTCACGTTTAACTAACTATTTATCGTACGGAATTTAACTGAACTTTGTGCAAATTTTACAGCCTATTTCCCTTGGTGTTAGAATCCACTCCCTCTATTTCATAAGCATCGCGTGTGCTAGAGTATAAAACCTTTCACGTGCAGAAAATGAAAAATTAAATTGTGATTTTGCTCAAAACACGTGGGAAATTGGTATTCATAACATTAGGCCAATTTTATCAAAGGGCCACACTGTGCTCCATTTGACTCTAAAGTGCTTCATGGTTTTAATACCAAAATGGGGAGAAAATTATTGTTTGGACTTTTTGGTTGTTTGGATGGAGAAAGAAGTGAGTGAGTGAGAGAGAGGATTCTTGTGGGGCCTTCCCCAAACGAAACATTTCTCCAAATATGATGGAACCAAGAGAATACTTTGGCATCTATCAAGAAAAAGAAAACTGCTTATTACTTGAATGCAATGGCAGCAGAAAACTGCTCCCCCCTTATCATTTGAAATGCCAAATGCATGAAAGTTAAAGTGACTAACCATTGAAATGGCATTTCAATGCTTCATGTGAACAGCTTGAAAATGGCGATTGCTGCAGTGAAGACAACTGCAAGCCCAACTGCTAATGCAGATGTATGTGTGTCTCAATGAATCTGCAAGAAAAAGTACACATTCTTGAAGCCCCCTAAAGATATTTTTACCTTCCACCCGATACCCAATACTCGCGAAAAAGGGTTCCTGCTTTCCTTTTTTAGTACGATTGACACACAAAGAACACACAAAGTCTGTTCATATTTTTTTAATCTAATAACACACAAAGAACCAACGTCGTCTTCGTCTCCGCTAGAGCTCAAATCAGGGTAAACTTCCATAAGAATCCCTGGGAATGGCTTCCTACCACTCAAGCGAGCAAAGAAATTCCCAAAATGCAATTTAATAACACCTAAATATGTGAACATGTGATAAATTGCATTTTATTACTGTTATTGATAAAAAAGTTTTTTTTTGGTACAATTTCTTACGGACAAGAATTGATAAAAAAGTTTTTTTGGTACGATTTCTTACGGACAAGAATTGATAAAAAAGTTTTTTTTTGGTACAATTTATTACGAAGTAAAAAAGATGAACAGTGATAAAGAAGAACAGTAATAAATATGTGAACATGTGATAAAGAAGAACAGTAATAAATATGTATTCACATGTTCACATATTTAGGTGTTATTAAATTGCATTTTGGGAATTTCTTTATCAATGAATGTATAACAATTTATTACTGTTCTTCTTTATCACATGTTCTTCTTTTTTACTTCGTAATAAATTGTACCAAAAAAAAACTTTTTTATCAATTCTTGTCCGTAAGAAATCGTTTTATGCCCGGAATTGAATTCGTTTTTTATATTATTCGATCGAATTTGTTTTTAATTCTAATTGTTCCAATACTAGTCTAGAATATTTAAATATAATATTTTCACAGTCAAATACTATAAAAAATTTACAAACGATGATTGTTCCAAAAAATAATTCTTGTTTTAACTTTTTTATTGAAATGATTACGAAGTAAAAACGATGAATGCAAAGTTGCAAACCAACATACGGAGTATATAAAAATCTTTAGAAAAGGAGAAAAGTCAAAATAAGACCAGGGCCGGCCCATTAAGGGAATAAGCAGTACGACCGGGCCAGGCCCAACAATTTAAGGGGCTAATTTTATATATATATATATATATATATATATATATATATATATATATATATATATATATATATATATATATATATATATATATATATTGAAGCCCAGAACAGCTAGCCCTCCTATTTTCGTTCTACAGCAGAAAGCGGAAGTAGCCAAACGCCCGAACCCACGAAGGCACGGACGGAAATTGAAAAAGACGCCAGAAGGAAGTCGCCGAGAGAGAGTCGCCGCCGACAGCCTGCACGCTGCACTGCTCCAGAGTCTAGCCGCTTCCCGCCAGACGCCGCCTCGACGGAAACTCTCCAGCCTCCAGGTCCTGGAGTCCAGGTAGGGAGGTTAAAAAAATACCAATTTCAGAATTTCTTTAGGTAGTGTTTGGCAACTAGGATTTCATTTCAAATCATGTATTTCAATTCCAAAATTTGAAATCTTGAATTTCAAATGACAATGGGAGGCGCATGAATTTAAAATTAAGCTTTGTTATGAATGAGAAGAATTTGATTCAAATCCAAATTCAAAATTTGTAAGTTCCCCAAACATGGAATTTGAGCCAAATCCGAATTTGAAATCCAAATCCATGTTCCCAAACATACCATTAAGAATTTTACAATTTGTTATGTAAAAGTCTGAAAATATTTAATCTTTATAAATTTATGTTATGAATTTGTTATGAATTTTTGTTGTGAATTTGACAATTTATTATATGAATTTGTCATGTGAAAAATTGAAAATCTTTAATTGAAATTTTTGCGAATTGTTGTGAATTTGTTGTGAAAATCTGAAAATCTATTAATTTAATAATTTGAAGATCTGTTTTTTTTTGGAAATTTAAAGTTTGTATTTGTGTATTTGATTTCACTAAGATGTGATCAATGAATTTGCTCTAAAAAATGCAAGGAGAAATTTACTAATTCTCGGCTAGTATGTAATTATACTACTATGATTTTGTCATTTACTTATTTTCTTTTAATACTATTGGGTTAATTGGCATTTAAATATATTTAGTTTACATATTTTAATTGTTTAGACCAATAGGGAATTAGGGATAAGACTTCTAACTTTCTAAGGCTTTTTTTTCTTGCCTCGGCCCAGGCCGTTGAAGTCTCAGGACCGGCCATGCTTTTTACCAAACAAAAAGTTGTGATAGGGATAATATTTTTTTCTTGCACTACTATTTACTCCCTCCCTTCCATTAAACCATTCACATTTTGACTTTGGGCCAAAATAAGAAAAGTGTATTTTTTGTTGACTTTTTAATTTTATTCTTGATGTGATGAGTAAAACTAAGATGCGATAGTTTGGTTATTAGTGAAAAAGTATGATGTGATAGGTAAGGTATGAAAAAGTAAGAGTAAAAGTGGTTTTTTAATAGAAAGTGGAAGTATTTTAGGGAATTGCGAAAAAAATAAAAGAGGAAGGGTTTAATGGAACGGAGTGAGTATTTTATAAAAATATAGGTAAGTTTGAAATATACATATAGATATATACTTTCTTTGTTTTTACATTATCACTCTCTTTCGAAGATTATATTATGCAAAAGTTTATCTCTTTTAAATTGATTTAATTTACAAATTGATATTGAAATAAATATACAACTTGCATGCTACATTGAGTATGAGTATTTGTCTAGTTTTGACTTTTTGTAGTTAAAATTAGTTAAATTCAACCATTAATTAAATAAAACTGATACAAAATTAATTTTATTGGATTTATTTTTATAAAACATTTTCAAAATATTGTTTAATCTATTTAATATATCATATAATCTTTATTCAATTAAAGGTCAATGGTTGAAAGTATTTAGCCACGAAAAGTTAAAATTAGAAAAATACTCAGGGACGGATACACAAATAAGTGATGATGACATGTCTAGTTTATTTAATCAAATGATCCATGAAAATGCATATGCCAACAAAAGTTACTGGAAGTACATAATTTAGTGATGAAAGGAATATTGTGTTTATGTTGTTTTTAATTTTTAATTAGAGAAAACTTCTTAAATATGAGTAAAGATGAAGAAAATATCATAATATAAGTAACACTTTTTTTGTCACCTAAATAAGAGTTCAAATTGTGACTTTCATATTGCATATTGTTACAATCTTAAATTGACATAAACTACTACTCCCTCCGTCCTATAATGATCTTCCCGGTTCATTTTACGAAGTTTGACCGACTTTATTTTCAATTCAATTTATTTAATTATAGGTGTAAAATTAAAAAATAAAATTTATATATTTAAAAACTACATCAAAAGTTCTACAAAATAAGTAGTGACAAGACTATATTATTTTATCAAATACCAAATGAAAATAGGTAAAGAAAGTGATTAAAGTTTGACCGTGTAAAAAGTGTGTGGGAAGAACATTATAGGACGGAGGGAGTACCATTCATAAGTTCTAACCACATTTATTATCTAGGAAATTAAAACAATGCAACTCTCATATTTTGATGTCATAAATAGGGTTTCCTTTAAACTTTAAGTTCCAATAAAGGCCCACCACACTTTCCCGGACTCGATGGCTTGCTTGTTTTATGTGATCTAGGTCTANAGAAGCCAATTGCCTCTCATCAGTTCCCGTGGGAGTTACTAACCCAACTTATCTGTTCATTTGTTGTGGTCAAGAGTCCGCCAATTTTAGGGTATATGTCTCAGTTTAAGTCCATTTGTTCTTTCAATTGTGTATAGCAGAGCTATGAGAACTGTAATGGGGAGGCATGTAGTCCAGCCTGGTGCAAATGCTAGAGATAGAATCAGCCAACTCCCGGCAGAGATACTTGACCATATTATGGGATTGTTGCCTATTCGACAAGCGGCTAAGGTTGCTGTTTTGTCTAAGGTTTGGAGGGACGTGTGGTCCAGCCTCACGCTGTTGTGCTTCGATCATGGCTTCTTCCATGTTGCTGGTAAGAAATCTTCAAAAGAGGCCCGCAAAGACAAAAACAAACGCTCACGTTTCCACGTAATCACGCAAATTCTCTTGCAGCATAAGGGATCGATTCGGAAATTTGTTTGTTTCCATGCATTGGCTATGACAGAAATAGTTAGGTTTTCATCGCTTGAAGTGGATGAGTGGTTGGTGTTAGTCACACGAAAAGGCGTTGAAGAAATCCACCTCCATTTTGGGTGTAACAAATACAAGCTCCCGGGTTACGTGTTTTCGTGCACGACACTCAAGACATTACACCTCAACGGTTTCTCTATTGACCCACAAAATTCCCCACACACTTTACCGAATGCTACATCGCTCCGTTTTGATTATGCTGACTTTGGCACGTATGGGGGATCTTTCAGACTACGTTGTCCATGTTCCGAGGCTGGAGAACATGTCGTTTTCTTGGTGTCGGGATATGTTTCACTTTGGCATTACTGCAAGAAATCTTACCAGTTTGACACTCTATGGCTGTTTTAGTAGCGAATCGGGCAAGTTTCTCCCGGACAACTTGGACTTGAGATCTATTTCCACTCTTGATATGGACTATTACAGTTTCAAGGTATATTATTTGGGAAATTTACCTAAATAGGACTAAAACACAATGACTTTCCCAATATAGGATCATATGTTTTTATTTCTCAATGTAGGACTTTTGGTCATTATCAATTAGTCATTATTCAAGTAAATGTCCATCATTATTGGACATTATTCCTCCCACTAGACATTATCAAGTCCTATTTAGGGAGTAAAAAAGTTTAAGTTCTACATTGGGAAATGACTTATGTTTTAGTCTTATTTAGTGTAAATTTCACATATTATTTCTTGGATTTTGATCTATATATGTATAGTGTCCTACCCCATACATTTGAACTGGTCTAACTTCATTTCCATATGATGATTTCTTAGTATTTTGTTGGCCAATATACTACAAAGGAACCCGCACTAAATGTGGAACAACTCAAGCTATCGAATTTTTGTTCCCAGGATGATGATGAGTTAATCTCTGCATTTGTATGCTTGCTGTCTAATTGCCCAAAGTTATGCAATCTTGAAATAAGTTTGGCGGTAAATATATATTTTTTTACTTCATTTTCACAGTCAAAATATTGAGTAAAACCATGGTTAGGTCCCTGTAAGAGCATTCACAGCGGCATGTCAAAGGAATGCCACGCCCTGCCACATCAGCAAGTGGAGGCGTGGCGCGAGGCAATGGAGGAGCGTTCCACCCCACATATCGTTCCACCTGCGAGGCATATTTATAAAAGGGATTTCAAAGAATCTTTTCATCTTTTCAAACGAGATTGAGGAAAAGATTTAAAATAGAGGAAGAAGGGGGGCTCATCTAGGGTTTTCGGTGGGGGTGTGGTTCATCCGGGCATGAATTTCTGGCGGATGGATGTGAAATTATTGGATGGCTACTGTGCACAATGGAGAGAAGGTCGTACACTCTTGCTCGTGGATGAAGGAAACCAGGGAGTTACAGAGTATTAATTTGTTTGATTCTTCAATTTTTTGTTTCTTTAATTAGGAATTGAAATTTTAAAATTTCAATTATTATGAATTTCCATATCCAATATTATATAAAAAGGGAGAATGATTTTTATGATAAAATGTATAAAAGAAATAATTTTTTATTATTAATATTGAGTATGTATTAAAAAAAGTGAAAAAATACTTACTTGCCACTGTGGGACTTACCACTCAACTCATGTGCCACTGTGTGACTGGACTATTTTTAATTGGTGGAAATGTACCACGTCATCGTGTGGCATTATATTTCATCCTTGCCATTGCTCATGCTCTAATGTGTCCCTTCATTCAATAATAACACTTCAAATGCTAAGCTGTTAGTTTTTCTTCCTCTCTTGTTGTGTGTTTATGTAGTGGGCAGGGAATATAAACAAGTGTATAGATGTCACATTTGGGAATTTGCTAAAATTCCGCAGTGTGCTACGAACACACAAAAGGCTTCTGTGTTTGAAGCTTCGCTCATTCAAAGGGTTGAGGCCCCAAATGCAATTCGTTAAGGAGATGCTTGCCTGGCTTCCCGCGCTGGAAAAGGTTGTCATTATGTGTATTCCGAACATGTTTGATTGGAACAAGGAACAGCAAACTATGGAAAAAATTTCGCATTTTCCGCGTTCATCTGCGAATGCTAAAATTGTTTATCAATGAATGGAGATCTTTCCAAGTTGAGCGTTCTCGTACTTGTCACTTTTATAGCTTAAATGTGTTTTTGGTCATTTATTTATTTATTTCGACACCAATTCATGTTGCAGCTGTTCATTACTGATATCCAAAACTGTAGGAAGGTAAAGTTTTTTTGGTATGTGACTTTTGAATGAATAGATTAATGGCATTGACATGCCAAATGGATGGGCTTTTGAACCTAATGGAAGAAAAAACTTGCTTTTGAGACTCTTCACCACAATCATTTTGACTTTTTGTGATTTTTAAAGAATGTTGAAAAAGGTAAAAATTTACCAAAATACCCTTAATGAAAATGGGTGGGGTGTATTAAATAAGCTGAGAAATGTGTAATAAATAAAGTAAGTGGGGGTAATTGTGGGATTTGAAATGTTAAAAAAGGTAATGAGAAGATCTATGTGTGACAAATAAAAAAGCCGAATGGGAAGATTTGTGGGAGACGGAGCATCTTCTTCTTCTTCATATGCATAGGTGAGATTGCTGTTTTGACCACTCAATTATGATAAAGGTGCGGTGCTTTTTATGTGGATTTCTCACTTTTGAGTGAAGACTATTCTTGTCTGGTGTTCGAAGTTCTTATTCGATGATTGTGTGTACCTCTAATTATTTTGGAGATGATTATTAGTTGTACCGATTGATTTTTTGGTGACTAGTGGAATGCTTCAAGATTGTTTCCTCGATTTTGGATTTCCACATTAAATCTTGGTGTTTCTTTATCACTTGATTGCTTATTCATTGCGGTGTTTACTATTCTTGATCAGTCCTATAATTTTGCTCATTTTGACAACACGCAGACGAAAAAATTATTAATTGCTTCCACAAGAAATTAAGGTGATTTTCCCAGTACACACTTTACATATTTGTGTCACGGCAGATTGTTTTTAACACTAATAATCATATTACAATGTAGTGTCTTTTATTCATTCTCAGTCTCTTAGATCAAAAGAATTAATGCTTTATTGAAGTTTGAATCATTGATTTCTCATTTGTGAGAGTCATTGTGAAGTCGTTGAACAAAATTTTTTAATGATTTTTTTTGGGGAGTAAGCCCAATATTTACGTGTAGTTAGGCTATACGAGGCAATCACTAACATACCCACCATCCTCACTTCTTATTCAGCGCCACTTTAGCTTTCCTCATTTCATTCCCATTGAGGGGTGCGAATCCTCATTTTTTTAATTTTTATTTTTAAATATAACTTTTACAACATTCTATATAATTTTTTAAATTGAACTTAAGTAATATTTGAAATTAAAAACTGAAATTAAAAAAATGGAATCACAAGAAGAAAGAAACAAAATAAAAAACTTAAATTAAAATCCAAAAAAACTGAAATTAGAATGAAAAATTGAAATTAAAAACCAAAATAAAAAAACTAAATTTTAAAAATACTTTTATAAAATTATAACTAATTTCTAAATAAAACATAAAAAATTAGGAATTAAAAACTGAAATTAAAAAATAGAACAGACACTAAAATGAAAAAATAAAATTAAAACGTGGATCTAAAAAGAGAAAGGTCATATCTGAAAAAAATTAAAGTAAATCAAAATTTTTTCCTCTGAAATGTACTCCGTAACTTTTAATTTTTATAACTCCCTAGATTTTTTGTTGCACTGCATTTTTTTAATGAACAATGCTCTTAAATGTTTATTGATAATATTCTATTACTGTATTTTTTTTTCTAAAATGAAACTATATTTTTTTCGATAATTCAATATAAATTTTTTTCTCCAAAACAATAATTTAAAAGTTGTGAAAATGACGCAATATTTTTTCCCTCCAAAACGACACTAATAAATTTTATAACTTACTACAATTTTTTTGTATTGCAATTTCTTTCTCGAATGATACTCTAAATTATTTTTCGATAATCCAATATTATATTTCGCTTTAGAACAGAAAATAAAATTTTGTAAATTATTATTTTTTAAAAGAAATTGAGACAAATCTCTAACAACAACGACCATTGTACTATTATATTATTTAAAACACAACTTAAGTTTAAAATTATAAAAAGGAAAAAAAAATAAATTTGCTTAAAATAATCTCATCTTACATTTGTTTGGGAAAAACATGCCTTTTTCCAAAAAATCCATTTAGTGGTTGTTAGCTTTTTTAAGGGAGATTCAAGACTTGCACACATGCAAAAATGTGAGATTATTTTCGGAGATAATAAACAGTGAAATTATTTTTTAAAAAATGTAAAGAAGTGAGATTATTTAAAATATTACTACGTATTTTCTAAATGGAAAGGGGAGGAGTTTTATTGGGAAGGGGAGTAGTCTGAGTGGGAGTTACAGGTTTTCTGCTAACCAAACTTATTTTTTTGCCGGAGCGTATGCATAGTAAACGCCATAGATCCGGTGATTGTAGAGTAATTGTGGCGCCGTTAATTTCATGATTCTAATCATCCCTACACCGTTAATTTCATAATCTGACGAAAGTCTTTGAAAAAAAATTGTTTTCATTATTCAATAAAGATAAGATTTGGTTACTTGGGTCGATCTGTTAAAGTCTGCCAATTTTAGGGTTATGTCTTAGTTTTAATCCATTTGTTCTTTCATTTGCATATGCCAGAGCTACCAGAAGTGTTATGGCGAGACGTGTAGTCCAGCGTGGTGCAGACGATCTGGATCGAATCAGCCAACTCCCGGTAGAGATTCTCGACCATATTATGGGGCTCTTGCCTATTCAACAAGCTGCTAGAACTGCAGTTTTGTCTAAGGTTTGGAGAGATTTGTGGTCCAGTCTCTCGCATTTGTGCTTCGATCATCTCTTCTTTAGCCATTTTAATAAGAAATATCGGCGGGCTAGTAAATACATCAAGACATCTTCATGTTTTTATGTAATCACCAAAGTTCTCTTGGAACACAAGGGATCTATCCGTAAATTTGTGTGTCTTCATTCAAATGTTGGGACCCTAACGGTTAGGTCTCGATCATTTGACATAGATCAGTGGTTGTTGTTAGTCACACGACGAGGTGTTGAAGAAATCTACCTTCATTTTGGGTATAACGAATACAAGCTGCCGGATTGCATATTTTCATGCTCAACCCTTAGAACATTATGTCTGCAAGGGTTCTCTATTGAACCGCAATGTTCTCCATGCACTCTACCAAATGTTACCTCACTTCGTTTTGTACGTGTTGGATTTGGTTCTAGAGATATTTCAAACTATGCTGTACATGTTCCTAGGCTCGAGAATCTGTCATTTATTCGGTGTAAGGATATGTTTCACTTTAACATTACTCCTAGAAATCTTTCCAGTTTGACAACCAAGGGCTGTTATAATAGCGAATCTGACAAGTTTCTCCCAGTCAACTTGGACTTGAAATCTATTTGCACTCTTGATATGAAGAACTGTTCCGATCTCCGGGTATTTTATTTTACCTAGACTTTTTTTTTCCGGACTGTGATCTATTTGTAGCATCTTACACCATACATTTGAAGCGATCTAACTTCATTTCCATACGATTTCCTAGTATTTTCTTGGCCAATATACTACAAAGGGACTCTCTTTACAACCGCCCGCACTAAATGTGGAACTACTCAAGCTCTCAAATTTTTGGTCCGGGGATGATGATGAGATTTCTGCATTTGTATGCTTGCTGTCTAATTGCCCAAAGTTATGCAATCTTGAATTACTTGTAAGTTTTTGGGTACATGTTATTTCCTTCATTTTTGATGGTCAAAATATTGAGTAAAATCATGGTTACGTCCTTGTTTTGCGTTCTTTCATTCAATTATGCTTCAAATGTTGTCTTGTTTTGCTTTCATGTAGTTGACAGGGGATTTAAAAATGTGTATAGATGCTACATCAGGGCATTTGGAAAAATTCCGCAGGGTGCTACGAACACAAAAACTACTTTCCTTTTTGAAGCTTAATGTATTCGAAGAGTTGGAGCCCCACATGCATTTCATTCAGGAGATGCTTGCCTGTCTTCCAGCACTTGAAAAGGTTGTCATTATACGTCCTTCGTATATGTCTGGTTTGAACGAGGAACATGAAACTATGGAAGAGATTTTGCATTTTCCGCGTGCGTCCGCGAAAGCAAAAATTGTCTATCAATTAATGGAGGACCCTCCAATATGAAACATTTGTTTTGAATGCTAATAACTCTATTATAATGTAGAATTTCCTCATAGATTCTCAACCTGTTAAAGCATATAGACTTACTGGCTACTGCTCTCCTTAGAAGCCGAAACTGTGATCTCTCATTTGAGAGAGTCATTGTGATGCTGCCGAACCACATTGTCACTACATATGTTTGTTGTTTTATGGCGAGTCTAGAACCGTGGCTAGGTTTTCGAGTCTATTAGCGAGATTCAAAGTGATTGAGTCCTAGAATGTAGGATTTCATAATCAAGGACGGTTAATTGCAGATTGTGCTTTACAACCATAACTTGTACTATGGAGATGTGATCATTTTCTTGATAATTTAAGGCTACTATGCTTTGATCTCTCATAATTTTTTTACATTCATCTCAATAACCTACCTAATGTAAGTGTCTTTCATTGATGGTTGTAAGCGTCTCAAGGCATTTTATGGCGGAGATCTTAGTTTTAGATTTATTTATCATTCTGTTAATGAGGTAACACATTTATTAGCATGTGCTACTCATTCTATAGCGGGTTTTGGGGAGTGGGTGAACGTTTTTTTATACAAATTAAACGTTTTTTTAACGTCAACCGTATAAATAAAGCTGAAAGCTCATATAAGGACAAAAGGGAGTAACTTTGATCAAATGTCGTAAATGATGTAAACATATGTTTGGCAAAATGAGCAATATTTAATACTCTTTCATAACATGCGACCCCTTGACTTTAGTTTTAGAGTTAAACTCAGCATTTTTACGTAGTAAAAATTAATCCAAGAGCAGCTTTTAGTTTCAAAGTTCTAGAAGTTTTTTGCACCATTAAAAAATTATCTAAAATACCTGAGTTAATTATAAACATTCTCTCTAGCATTACGTAAATTTAAATTATTTGTTATGGGCGTTCAAAAATCAATTTTAAAAAACTACAGTTGTTACTGAATCAAGATGAGCTTAAGACTTATCAAGAGGCAGTGGCTTAATCCCATGGGATCCGAAATAAATTTCATACACACTAATTTAGTATTGATTTTTGACATTCCCTTGTGTGCCCCTCACTTCTACATAGTTCATTTTCATCTCTCGTTATCACGAAGCAAAAAACTTTTCTCCCTTTATTTTTCATGGCAAAGCCTATGTTGCCACCTTTCAAGAACAGAGAAAGTAGTATTACAGTATGTACGATGAGAGCTAGAGTGAAATCTTACCAACGCACGTGTCACCAGAAATCACCACACGAGCATTTCCCATCTTTGAACAAATGGAACCTAACAGAATCTCTCACTAAAATTTCCCTTCCAGTGATCCTGGAAATGAGTTTAGTTGCATTGTGACAATCAAGACACACCCTGAGATTCTTAACCACCTTTATGGGGATCCCGGGAGGGACGAATATCAACCCAAAGGCAATTGCAAGCTTCTCGCTATGGTGGTTTAGCATCTTCACCTTCTCAGAGTCTTCAACATTGTGCTGGACAGAGCTCACATCTGGAATATACCCATCCTCTATCATTCTCCCGTACAACGATTCGAGCTCTGCATATATCTTGTCTGAATATGGACTGGACTTGTCATCAGCTGAGAAAACATGGAGCTTGTTCTTGTACTTGATCCAACTGAACCCAGGTTCCTTTTTCACACCTCTATCTCTCATCAGCTTCCTCAACCTAGCCACTTCATCCCACTCTCCTCTAGCAGCATTCAAGCTTATGAGCAAAACATAGCTGGCAGGATTCTGTGGTTCTGCTTGCAAAAGAGACTCTGCTGCCCATTTCCCAATCTCCATATTGCCACGAGTTCTGCATGAGCTTAGGAGTGTTGCCCAACCAATTGCATCAGGTTCATAAGGCATCTTTTCTATGAAGTGTTTCGCTTCTTCAAGCTGTCCAGATCGGCTTAATAGATCAATCATGCAAGTGTAGTGATCAAGAGTAGGTGTGATGTTATGGTCTCTTACCATTGAATCGAAATAATACTTCCCTTTATCTACTAGTCCTGCCCTACTGCAAGCAGCAAGAACCCCAACAAAAGTTACTCCGTCAGGTTGCAGGCGTTGTGTGAGCATTTTCTCAAAGAGGTCAATCGTTTCGGTGGCTTTTCCAAATTGAGCATACCCAGAAACCAATGCAGTCCAAGAGATCTCGTCCGTAAATTCTATCTCACAGAACAGTTTATGGGACTCATCTATGCTTCCACACTTACCATATAGGGTCACGAGTGCATTGGAAACTGTAATGAAGGAAATCAAGCCAGACACTAATGCTTGGCAGTGGAATTGGGCACCTTCTTCTGAGCTTGCCAGGTTAGCACAAGAACTAATGACACTTCCTAAAGTGAATTCATCTGCCTTTACCATATTCTTTTGCATCTCACAAAATGTTTGAACAGCTTCTTCACTGTACCCATTTTGGCCATAACCAACTACCATTGCCGTCCAAGATACAACATTTTTTCTCTTCATGTTTCTGAAGACATTCTCTGCATAATTAATGTTTCTGCACTTGGAATACACATCAACAAGCGCACTACCCACGAAAATGTTGTCCATATGATAACTTCTGATTGCGTGAGTATGAATCTGCTTTCCTTGTTCCAAGGCCATCACACTTCCACACGCCGTCAAAATGCTCCCAAAAGTATATTGGTCAATGGCAAAACTTTGCAGTCTCATTTCTCTGAAAAATTCTAAAGCTCTTATATTTAGACCATTCTGTGTTAGACCAGTAATCATTGTCGTCCATGTTATAGAATCCCTCTCTGGCAAACACGTAAACAGCCTTTCTGACTCTTTCACCATCCCACATCTAAGAAACCCCATAATCATCGTGTTAGACAGAACCAAATTCTTTTCGGGCAACTCTTCAAAAACCCGTTTTGCCTCCCGGATTAAGCCGAATTTCGCATACATATCAGTTAAGGGACTCCCCACAAAAACATACAACTCAAACCCACACTTCACTATCTGTCCGTGAATTTGCCTGCCCAAATGGATCCAACCATTGCTCAAACACAATATAAGCATTGTCGAAAACGTGATTCTGTTTAGATTCATCCTCCCATCCCTCAACATCAATTCATAAGCCCTTACAGCTTTACCCGAAGACCCGTGGGAGGCATAACCCGAAATGATCAAATTCCAAGAAACTCCATCTTTCTTAGGGATCAAGTGAAATACTTCCTCCATTTTCATAAAGTCCCCTGCTTTGGAGTATGTGGAGAGAATGGTATTCCAAGAGAACTGGTTTGGCCTGGGAATTTGATCGAACACATGGCGGGCGTACACAAAATTTCCGATCTTGCTGTATGTATTGATAAGATTGTTCAGCAAGAAAGTCTCTATGGTCGAGATGGTTTTGATTATCCGGCAATGGAGCTTCTTTACTTGAGCATGGCTTTGGGTCTCGCAGCATAGTTTCAAAAGGGAACAGTAATGGTTAGAAATGTGAGACATCCCGCCTAAATTGCACATCTTTCCGTGGCGGGAAGAATTAGAGCATCTCAATTCTCAAAAAGATTTTTTTTCTTCTTCTTCACTCTAAGGTTGTAAACTTTTAGTTTTACACGAGAAAAGTGGGAACTATAAATGAAAAAAAAAACAAACAAAACAAAAAAAAACAAAAGTTTTCCATTAGAACATTTTTGAAACGTCGTGTTTACATATATTCTCTTCCATTCAAAATTTTTCTCTAATTTATCAACAAATTTTACAGTATTCATTTTTTATTTGACATTGTTTTAAAATTTTTGGTTTTTTTTAGACTTTTTGACATGATTTTTTAATATTTCACCTGTCCAAACATCGCAAACAAAAATATGTACTCCCTCCGTCCTAAAACTTTCTTCCCAGAACACTATTCCAACTTCACGGGAATTTATATTTATTTGGGTTTTTTCATGGCCTATATGATAAAATAAAATATTATTGTCATCACTTGTTTTGTTGAACTTTTGATGTAGTTTTTAAATATGTATGTTTTATTTTTTATTTCTATACCAATATTTAAATAAAATAGATTGAAAAAACTTGGGATTTTTCTTCGTTTTGCGCAACAGGAAGAAAGATATAGGACGGAGGGAGTAATTTAAATTGGAATAGAGTGAGTAGATGTTTTGACGTATTCTTTAAATATTATTTTTATGAAAAATGCTAGGGGTACATCTTTGGTGTACCCCATTTGTTCCCCACCCCTCCTCCACCACATAAATGAGCAAAAAATTTAAAAATAAATAAATAAATAAAAATCAAATAAATATGTGTGATGGAGAAGAGGGTGAGGGACAAATGGGATACACCTTTGGTGTACCTCTAGCATTGTTCTATTTTTATTTGTAAATTTCACACCAATAGAGTGTCATAAAAATGATTTTTCTTATGGATGGATTATTAATTTGTCTAGTTTCAAGAGTAATTTTTCTTAAATAAAGGGATTATTCTTGAGGGCCCTCATCGAGCTGTCATATAAGAGGAAGTATATTGAACTATAATTACAAACTGATCGACAAAAAGTGAAGCTTACACCCAACACTTATATAAACCCTATAATTAACATAATTATACTTCAAGACATTTGTCAAAATCAAACTCGAATTTATCTCTTTTATCTCTCTCGTCAACGAATTTCAAAACTATTTCAAACTCCCAATTTGGATTCGAAGGGAGGGAGTGTATTTTGGGCCGGGCTCTTATTCCACCAGACTACAATTGACACATATATAGTTCATCGGTTCTTAAACCCTAACCCTATAAATTTTAAGGGTTAATCTCCGATTCTTCTCCATCCGCACCGAATAGCCCTTTGCAGCCTTGAGCTCGTGGCTGGAGAGAAGATTCGAGCAAAGGTAAAAAAAAGGTGCAAAATTTACTGCTTTTGGCGATTTTGTTTTGCTGGCGATCAGCTTCGTGTTCAGCTTTGATCTGTCAAAAACAAACATTTCAATTAATCCTTCATCGATTTCGTCAGCGCATTTGGATATTTATTTTAACAGCACGAATTTTCGGAATTTCCGATCTGTTTTTGGTCCAAGCAATGTGATGAGTTGATAGATCTCTGAATTTCTCCATGTGGAATTAAACCAGATCATTTACCTTCAAAGTTCTCTGATTGCTTTTGGCCAGAATTCGAGTTTAAAAAACAATGAATCTTCAGAAATTTGTTCTTGGAAATGAACAGTTTTGATTTAGGCAATGCTTGCACCAAAGAAATATGGCCTGTTTTGTATATTTCCCTTTCAGGCCACACGAGCATGGTGCCACATTAAAGTCTTTTTTCACATTGATTTGCCAATTGAATTTTTTTTAGCATCATTTGGCAGGTACTTTGTGCATTTTAGAAGTACATCTTGTTGAAGTATTCAATTTTGTGACCATTTTTTGGGGTACCTTTTAATGTTTTGGTTTAAACTATGTAATTTTTGAAGAGTTTGCGGTAAATGGTGCACTTTTTGAAGTTTAGGTATAAATTGTATAATTTCTGAAGAATTTGGGATAAACTGGGCACTTTTCTTTCTAGTAATCATCTTCCCAAATGTCAATTATGTATAAAGTCAATTTGGAGAAAATCATTTGTCAGGCGAGAGTCGAGAAACAATGGTGCGGGATGGACAACGTCAGATGAAATCCTATTCCTTGTCGAAGTTTAAAAGAAAAAGATGTCAATTGGATATGGCAAAACATACTAGCTTGACCATTATATTTAGACTAGATTAGATAAAATCAGAATTTAGTCTAATCAATTATAATTATTTATATTGGTATTTTGCGTCTGTGAATTATCAAAATGTTAGGCACATCTGTGATTATAAATTATGTTATAATGTTTGGTTTACAAATCTGGAGTAACTTTATTCATGCTTAGACGGCCTCCAGCTCAAGAAGAAATCTTTCGCCTGTAATCGTATCAATGTTGCTGCATCTGCGTTTGCATGCTATTCCTCCTCATGGATGTGGATTATTTTTATTTATTTATTTTTTTGTAATTTTCTAAAAATGCAACTTGTTCTAGGAACAATTATTTGAATAAAAAGAATTTATTTAGTATTATATAAAAATAAATAAATAAATAGTGATGTTGAATTCATGAAAATGCATGTGACATACTGATTAAGGTAGTGCTCGATTCATTTTTTCTGTTTATTACTTATTCTTATTATAATCAGATTGAGATTAAATCAAAAATAACTTTTATTATAATTGCAATCAGATTAAATTAAATTAAATCAAATTTTTAAAAAATCAAAGCAGATTAGGCAAATGGTACACAACTTATTTCTTACATGTCGGAAAGATGACTTGTACCTCAATTTTGCTATTGTTTTATGTTAAGGTATGCTATCTGGATCTAATGTGTAAAATAAATGAATCATAATTAAAAAATAATATTAATATAACTTATTTTTATGATGCTTTTATAAGTGAAAAGTTCTATGGGCTGAAGAAAGTAAGGAGTAATAAATTAGAGTAAAAAAAAACGTTAGTGGTTTATGCTCCATATTCCATAACATTTTCGTCCCCTACAATATTTGCCCATTCAAAACGATTGAAACAAATCTTTTCCAATACAAATGGGGAATTACCCATTTTAGAGTAGTAAATCATTAACTGTACTTTCAAATATGGGTAAAACGCGGGTTCGCAATCAATTTTTTTTACCCCTTTCGCTTTCTAGAATACACCATTCCCCTGATACCATCCGGGTCGGCCACAAAGCCCATGGACCGGTAGAACCCTAGAACCCGGGGCTCCGAATACAGCGCAATGTTCGTAACCCCTTTCTCCAACAGTCCGGCCACAATCCGCTCCACCACCGCCTTCCCCAGCCCAATCCCTTGGAATCTGGGGTCCACCACCACGTCCCATATGATCCCGTTGAACACTCCGTCGCCGGTGGCCCTCGCGAACGCCACCGGCCGCCGATCCCTCTCGCACTCCACCCACAGCATCGCGTCGGTGTGCTCCAACGCCAGCCGCACCTTGGCGACGTCGCGCTTCGGGAAACCGACGGCGGCGAACACCGTGTTCAGGTGGTCTAGGTCGAGGCCGGCGGCGGTGGTGTGGAGGTTGAAGCCTCTGGAATGAAGCTCGTCATCGGAGATGGAGAAGTTCGCGGAGGAGGTTGTGGGATGTGGCCAATGGGCTGCGACGGAGAGGTTCTGGCGGCGGCGGACGGTGGTGGTTGCTTTGAAGGGGAGATGGATGCGAGGATGGCGGGGTGAAATTGCGCTGCAGGGAAGGAGCATTTTTTCATGGCTGATTTGCTTGCTCGGATTATTATAAATGGATAATTGGGTTTGTGGATAAGTATTTCAAAAACAAATTCCACCTTTCATTTTTTATACTCACTCTACCCAGGGATGTAAACAAATCAAATATTTTAAATTCGATTTGCGATTCGTATTCGAATATAATGATTCGAATTCGCGTTATTCAAATACAAATTCAAATTCAAATACTATTTTTGATTCAAATATTAATCAAATACAAATACAAATATGAATATATTCGATTCGGATGATATTCGAATATATGTATATATATACAGACCATGTTTTCAACATCAAAAGTCAAGCAAAGTAATATATTATAAAGTGTATTTAAGGTACTAAGAATAGAATAAATTAATGTAACACGAAAATCTAAAACATATGATTTTTAATAGTTATATTTTATAAAATATAATTTGTGTAAGATGCAAATGTATTAATGTTTTTATATATGGAATATAGTATAGTATAAATAGTATTGTAACTTAAATTACAAATCGATGTTGATCCATCATATAAATTACATAGTATGATTATTCAAATATTCGTTTATAATTCGATAACTATTCGAATATTAATCAAATACATATTCAAATCTTATTTTGAATTCGTCTCATATTCATATTCGGATTCGTATTCGAAAAAATTAAACAAATACAAATTCAAATATATCGGTATTCGCTTCGATTCGGTTCGTTTACACCCCTAACTCTACCCCAAAAATATACCTCACTTTGAATCCTAAAAGCGTGGGTTAATATTTTGTGTTAGCGTAATGCTAGACTGATATTTCATAACAACACAAAACATTAGAGTAATTTTTTATTAAATTATCATTTTATATAGTTGAAACGTTAAAATGTCAGTGCATCTCTTTAGACTACAACTTGGGATACATTTCTTGGCGTACTACTAACATTATTGATCTCAACTATTAACAGAAAGGTGCTATCGAAAGTTCGAAATTAGGTGCACATGATGATTAGGGTCAATCATTCAAAGCATAGAGTTCTTGCGAGTACTAAGTACTGAATCTACCCCTACGATAATTTGCTAAGATCATAGTTCTGTTTATTTCATTTTAGCTAACTCACTCCAACTTCTAAAAAAAGTTGTAAGAAGGTCTTCGGGAGTGAGTTTATCCTTGTAAGTTGTACTCCGTCCAACTTCTAAAAAAACTACTCTCTTTTTTTAGATATTTAGAAAAAAATCTTTCATTTTTCATCATTTCTTTTTATGTAATGTTTGAAAATTGAAAAAGAATGTTGAATTTTGAAAACGAGAAGAGTTAAGAGAACTGGAAGAAATTTTAAAAAAAAATATGGAGTATATGAAATTTAAAAAAAGATTAGAAAAAAAAATTAGAAGTAAAGATAGAATTATTCAAAGACTCATTAGACCTACTCTCTAATAGTAGCACTTAAAAAAAGATGTACTATTCAGCGGCTGTAGTAGGTTAAATGTAGGTTTCAAAGGCCACTGTCCATAGTTGATCACTTACTACTCATACATTTTTCCTTTCTCATCCCACATTTCAACTTCTAGGAAAGTGATGGATGTTAAATCTCATAACTATATATATATATATATATATATATATATATATATATATATATATACTCTCTCCGTCCACAAATAAACTTTACGTTCACTATTCACAGGGTCAAACTTTATTCACTTTGTTGGCCTATTTTCGTCATCCATTTGATAAAATAATATAGTCATGTCACCTCTAGTTTTGTAGATCTTTTGATATAGTTTTTTAATATATATTTTTTTTCAATTCTACACCATTTTTCATATGAAATGATTTGAAAATAACTTCAGTCAAACATCGTAACGCGTGATGTAAAGTTTATTTGTGGACGGAGGTAGTATATATATATATATATATATATATATATATATATATATATATTACTATCCATGATCCTTGCAATGAGAAGTCAACAGGGTAATGAGTGATTAGGAATTCAGAGATTACTTTGTTACCATTTGGCTAAAAAAATTGCACAAAAAAATGGCTTGAAGAAGAGCAATGATGAGAGAAACATGATGGGGCTTTTTGACAAATTGACAAAAGAGATGTCATTAAGTCATAAATAAAGTATAATCTCATATACTAATAATTATATCCAATATGTAGTATTAATTATATCTAACACCACCCCAATCAAACAAATAAATAAATTTAATAAAATGAAAATTCCATATGCTGCACAAAAAAAATGGTGATATGATCACACAAGCACAAAAAAAATGAGACCTTTTCACATGCTGTATTAACCAAAACATGCCTTTTTTCTGATGAACTTCACCCATGTTCTTGCTTTTCTTGATTTCAGATGACCTTTAATGATTCACTTGTTTCCTTCTTAGAAATGATCTGTTTTGGCCAAAAGAACTACTCTTTGCAGCTGCCCTCTGTGCATCTTCTTCTCCTCTTCCCACTCTGCTGTTCTTCTTACTTGTTAACTCAATTCCTTCTTCTTCTTCTTCCTTTTCATGTTTCTTGACAGTTTCTTTCTCAGCCCCACACTTTCCCAGTTTCTCCCTTCCATGGATTCCCTCCAAGCTTTCATCACAGTCTTGTTGATGAACCGGACCCGATGACGCGTCTGAAGCCATGGAGTCATCACTCTCACCATTCTGATCATTTCCTTCTTCATCACAATTCACTGCAGTGTCATGATGATGATGGTGATGATGATGATGATGATGATCATAATCATCATAACCATCATCATCATCATATTGATCATGGCTGGGAGAAGCAATATACATTGTCCAGCCAGATTCATTGCTGCTACAATACTCTTCTGCTCCTCCATGGAAACCTGAATGATCCATCACTTTCTACAAGAACTCAGAGGATATAAATATATATACCCTTTGATTATACCAATATTCTTGAAGTAAGATTAGTTGTTGATAAAGAATTTCCAGAGAACTCTCATGCATGAAACAGAGTCATGCTTCACATAAAACATTTTTGTGTTGGAGAACCATAAATTCCCTCTTTACTTCCTTATATATATATACTCCTTACGTCCCACAATGAAAAGGAGAGAAGAGTACATTTATTTCTCTGGCCCAAAATTGTTAGAGTATATAAATATCTGTTTCAGGGCCACAACTACAAGCTTGAGCTTTTGGTTGAGTTGGTTCCTTGACATGGTATCAGAGCCTTGATGGCCAAGAGGTCACGAGTTCGAAACTCACTGCCACCCAGTTTTAAAAAAATTAAGGTTTCACGTGCAAGGCTCAAAGGGGTCATGCCTGCACGTGAGGGGGCGTGTTAGAGTATATAAATATCTGTTCCTGGGCCACAACTACAAGCTTGAGCTTTTGGTTGAGTTGGTTCCTTGACAAAAATAAATGTATCCTTCTCTCTTCTTTTTATATTTTGAAGGGAATATTTGATGCGTATTATTCTTCTCTCTTCTTTCAGACAAATTTCAATCACAAACTTTTCACTTTTAGTTCCAATACTTTGTTTTGAAACTCGGCATAATTTAAGCGTAAAACTCATTGTAGGACAAAGCGAGTATATAAGAAATACGAGTACTACTTAGGGAAGTTGTAATGGTAAATCCAAAAAAGAGTATAAGAAATACTCCGGGGTACTTTTTATCCACGACAAAAGAAAACTCTTTTTTTCTTTCGCAGTTCAAAATTTTCTAAGAGATAATACCAAATGGCTTAACAATGACCTGAAGTGGGGTGGTTTGGAAGCATTTTTTGACACCCATGAGTTAAAGTTGTTTTCTAAAGCCAACATTAACACTTTTTCTTTAACCAAACTGGTCCTTAGTATTCTTTGCTGTTTCTGCCTGCCTCATAAATTCTCAGCTGCTTTAGACAGCCCCACTCCACTTTTGGAAAGAAGTAAAGAACAAATGGTTGGAAAAACCCACATTATATTAGTATGATATTGTCTGCTTTGCTTTCGGAGTATAAAACAGAAGATTATATTTCGCAACTTGTGGTTCTGCATCTGATTTTATTGAGTTTAAAGGGGATAAAAGAGTCATAAAAGCCATCTTTTTTTTTGCAGTCATTGTCATCATAAAGAAGCCATGTGGTCTTAAGTGGTAAAAAAAAAGCATAGATTTTGCACTATATATTGAGTTTCTCATCAGATGATCACTATAAAGTAACTAGAGAAACATTTACACTTATTGCAGAAAGTGGGTGTGGTAGATTTGTTATTACAATCTGAACATAAATGCATGCATCTCAGTAGTATTTAATTATATGCTGGATGGGTTTTTGTGTGCAGTTAATATTCATGGTAAATTGGACATGCAATATTTGGGTAAAAAAACAACAAACTTTAGCATTGAAACAAGACAAAAAAATATTACCTCAGACTGAGTAAGTCTGCATTGAATTTTCATTTTCTTGGGAGAACTGTACACTTGAGATATATAGTTACACCTGAAGAAGAATAATTACACTTCTGCCCTTTGGTTTATTATCTGTTAAGGATAGACAAGAGAGGTTAGTTGCCAGGTATATATGTTGCTATATATATGTGTATATGTTGTGGCCATAATGCCAAATTTTGTGTTGATTGCATATATATATCTTTAACTTCTTTGATTTTTCATGGGGCCCATCTGGTGATATTACTTTGGAAGTTTCAATTATTCTTCTTCTATATAAACAAATTACTTGCTACAGAGCATGTTAGTTTAATTATGAAAGCGATAATTCTTTTATGATAAGCAGACTTTTTTACGCGATTGATAAACATTTTCTTAATATTATCATAACCTTTTATTTGATTTATTTTTTTTTTTAAATTTGTTTCGTATGAGTATAAGAATGTCAATGTGTACCGAAGGTGCACAACATGCGACGCGGAATATTAGACCAATAAAAATCAAACTTGTGGCAATTTGGGCATATGATGTGTAATGAATGATGATGTGGATGCATTGCTTCCATTATTATACATGTGGATTCTTAATTCTTTGTCCATCAACTTATATAGTTTCATGTGGAAGCCTTTGTCCAGACAAGAACAGCCAGCCTCAGTTCTGCTAAAGCCCTTTTTGGTCATATATGATTATATACTGTCCCTCAATGATTAACAATGTCATTTTTTTTTAAAAAAAAATGAGTTTTCCTAAACTAATTTGCCATTTGGTTCAATCAACACTTTAGTATGTTAAAAAAATGTCATGAACATGAAAAATTTATTTTTGAAGGGTGATTTTTTTTTTGGGATTTAAAATTGTGTAGCCTCTAAATCATTGATGATGAAACAGCTGGATATATAGATATTCTCCTAACTAATATCTGGTGCCAAACATGACGCAACACTACACAAGATGAGTAGAATAATTAAACCAGGCTGGGCATGGCTGTTATGCCATGTTGTTTGGCACAACCTCACTACTAAGGTTCCCTAATTAAAGTTTCTCTTCTTCTTCTTTTTTTATTATTACTATTATTATTATAATTAAGAAAAATTATTTTAATAATCCCACCTTTTCACGTTTTTTTTAAATAATTCCACTTTTCACTATCGCCGGAAATAATCTCACCTTTCCGCATGTGTTCGAGTTGCAGGCTGTCGTTAAAAAGCTAATGGCCATTTGACGGAATTTTTGAAAAATGTCTGTTTTTCACAATTGTTTGAGGCAAATTTACTTTTTTCTTTTTTTGATTTTAATTTTAAAATTTTATTTTTAAAGTATAATAGTACACTCATGTTAGAGATTTATCTCCTTTTATTTAAATATAACGATTAATAAATTTTGTTTTATGTTCTGGGAGAAATATAATACTCCGTATTAGATTATTGAAAATAATTCAGAGTATTGTCGAGAAAAAAAATTGCAATACAAAAAAAGTGTAGTGAGTTATAAAATTAATTACTGCCGTTTTGGAGAAAAAAATATTGTGTCATTTTCACAACTTTTGAATTATTATTTTTGGAAAAAATTTGTATTGAATTATGAAAAAAACACAAGTTGGATAGTTCCATTTTAGAAAAAATAATGCGGGTAATAAAAGATTATCAATAAACATTTTGGAGTGTTGTTCATAAAAAATATTGCAATACAACAAAAAATGTAATGAACTATAAAAGTAAAAGTTCCATTTTAGAGAAAAAAATTACTGTTTTATTTTCACAACTGTTGTAATATTGTTTTGCAAAAAAATTATTTATAATTATCAAAAAATATTCACAGTTTTGTAGTACCATTTATTAAAATATAAAGATAGTATAGTATCAAAAAACAATTTGAAGTGCCGTTCAAGAAAAATGATTACAACTTACAAAAAAATTAGTGAGTTATGAAGTAAATAAACTAGCTCCATTGTGTAGAATAATTTATTGTACAATTATTACCAAATTATCCATTATTGAAAAAAATCATTAGTTTCACTCTAAAAACATTTAAATTTGGTGGAGTATTATTTTTAAAAAATTAAAAAATAAATTTAATTTTAATGTTAGAAATCAAAAAATGGAAATATAAGAATTTATCTAAAATAATCTTACCTTTCATTTATTTGTGAAAAATAGATATTTTCCAAAAGTTCTGTTAAGTGACCGTTAGCTTTTTAACGGGGACCCAAAACTCGCACATATGCGGAAATGTGGGATTATTTCTGGTGATAGTGAAAAATGAGATTATTTTTGAAAGAATGTAAAAAGTGAGATTATTTGAGATAATTTTCCCATATAATTATTATTACCATTATTATTTTTTATAATTATAATACTTATTATTTTCATCATTATACTTTTTATTGCTATTTAATTTTATCACTAATAACTCTGTTACAAAAGAAAAGTTTAAGTAAGGCACCAAAAACAACTAATGATGATATGTAAACATTTACATCTATATAGATTTTGTTAAAATAACTCTGTTACAAAAGAAAAGTTTAAGTAAGAAAATTTAGCAAAATGCATTTAAGGAAAAAAAAATAGCATGGGAAAATAACAATTAATGATGATATGTAAACATTTACATCTATATAGATTTTGTTTTGTTTGACTAACACTATCTTTAAGTGAACTATCACCTTGCAATAAATTCATGTATTGGACTATAAAATTATTTTAAATATTTATTCGTTACTCATTATGTCCTAATTTTAGGATCCATTTAATTTTTTTTGGATATATTTCTAAAAATCAATTAATAATTACATTTTGAAGCATAATATAGGTTTATATAAAATAAACATTTTAATTGTACTCATTATAATATTGGAAACTTTAAAAAAATAAAAAAGGAAGCCTATTTATTTAGGACAAAGAGAGACTCAAAATCATTTAATAAATTACTCTTTCCGTCACAATTTAAATCACCGTTTTTGGGTTTCAATATTTCACTTAATTTAATTTCAAATTATTTTATATGAAAAAAGGTGTAGAATAAAAATAAAAAAATTACATATTCTAAAATTATATCTACAAAAGTAATGGGGACATGCCTATACTATTAAATCAAATTGCAATTGCAACATCAAATAAAAAAGAAAGTGACTGAAGTTTAACTGTGAGAATAGTTCACATGTAATTAATTATAGTTTGAGAGAGTAAATTATGTTCATATAATTCATCCATATTTTTCCGACCTAGTAAATATTAATCCAATAAATATACTCCCTCTTTCTTGAGTATTTGTCTATACGTCCATATTTGACTATTTTCCATCATACTTGGTAAACTTTAACATCAAAATAAATAAAATTGAAATTGCATATTGTATATATATACAAAAATAGTTTAGTAGAGTTAACTTATCAAATACTGTCAAAATATTTTCTTATCTAATTAATATAATATATATATTTTTATTTAATCATAAGTAAAATGTTGAAAATAGTTGACAAAAAAATCAAAAAGGGATAAAAAGTCATTTCTGCCACTATTATTTTCCCGGCCCACCATTGATAAAAACTCTCCCGGCCCACTGTTGATAAAAACTCTCCCGAGTCCCGACCCAAAGTATAAATCCTGGCCTACTATTGAAACCCTACGTTTCATTTCCTCAATTCCGCCGCTACGAACCTCTCTTTCTCGAGCTTCGTCTTCATCTCTTTGACGAACATCCGTCTATCCGTAACTATCTCAGGGCCGGCCCAATAGGGGAACAAGCAGTCCGTCTGGGCCGGGCCCAAAAATTTAAGGGGCTCAATTTTTTCTAATATTATATATATATATATATATATATATATATACACGGTACGGTTTACTGCCACTACAAAGGAGTGGCATCCCAACCCACTGATCATCACAACCCTCCATCTCATCTTAAGTGCAATCCAATGGCTTCCAATCTTTAATCTTTATAGACTAAAAAAAACGCCGTCTCCATCTCTTATCCGTATCCATCGCAGACCTGAGCCGTAATTCCCAGCCTCTTCGTTTCTCTCTCCGTGGATCTCCCCACAAGGTTGAGACCAAGAACAGAGGACTTCAGTCCGACACCCCTAAAGCTCGGCGCCACCTCCATCGCCACTCTTCTCAAGGTAATTCGGTCTAGGTGTAAACAATAACTTAATTTTGGTTTTTTTTTCAATTTTGTGCAGACCCAGCTTAAATTTTTGTATAAAATTTAACATATTTGTGCGAACCCTAGTTTTGATTTTGGTGTTCTTTTGTGTGCAACTTTGTGTATAAGGTGTTCGATATTGTTTTTCAAATATCTGCAACATCATATTTTGATTTTTTTACTTTGCTTTGATATGACCCCTACTTTAATTTTGGTTTTCTTTAGTGCGAGAAGTTTTTTCAGCGAACCCTACTTTTGATTTCAAATGTGGTGTTAAATTTGTTGCAAATTTGAATAACTTGTCCAAGTTTTGGTGTCCAAGATGTTTTGACTTTTAATGTCTAAAGAATCTGAGATTTTCTGTAGGTTTTGAATAAATTGTTTAAGTTTTGATAGATATTTGCCTGTGTTAGTTGATAATGCTCTTGTGCGTGCAATCGGATATTATGAGTGTGAGGTTTATTTGTTTTAGATGCAGATTCGAGCTCAATCTGCTTGTTTGTGACTAATGTCTCAAAGCAGGCATGTAAGCCAATATCGTTAGTCTCAATGATGGTAAGAAGTTCACATAGAAGTATAACCTTTTTCTTTTGATATTGGTAGTTATCACTCTTTCAACTCAACAAGAATGATTTGTGATTATGGTGAATGTTTGGAGGTGCCTACCTATAGGTGCGGGAAAGAGATGAAGGTTCTTACCTCATGGACGTATAAGAATCTTGGAAGACGAGCATTCTCATGCTTCTAAAGAAGAGCAATGCAAATGACGGAGAGATAAAGATCCCTAACATGCGTACCAAAGATATGGAATTTGGAGCTTTTATGGTTGGGTTTGGTGCAGCTTTTGTCATCAACATTGCAATATTTGTTTTATTTATGTAATTTGAGATTATGTATTGTGATGTAGTGTTTGTATTGTTTATGCAAGTGTAATTTATGTGATTGTTCTGATGTAGTTTGGACAACATGATCAATGTGAAAAAGATTTTTTTGTTGATGTGAGCACTATGTGATTGCCATGAACATCTGTTTTTTAGTGTATATATCCATATGCACTACATTGAAGCAGTAGTATAGCCCAAGTTTGAAGCTAACCAATTGAACAAACACTAAATTGAACCCCAGTGGTGCAGGAAAAGAATTGGCAGCAGTATGTACCATAGAAAAAATTGAATGTGAATAGCTGAACCAACACTAAATTAAACCAACACCAAAATGAACACTGCTCAACACCAAAATGAACACTGCTCAATTATATAAAGTTGAAAAGCAGTAGGTACCATTGAAATAAAGCATGGTAACAACACTAAAGTCATAACACTGCTAAATTATATACTCCGTATAAAAAAACCACCAATTACCAATGTAGCATACTAGTACCAGTACAACGAGGTAATGATTATGTTAGGATTAAGAGATTAAGTGTGATCTCTTGGGTTAAACCCATCCCTTCTGTACTTTGGTTGCCACGAAATTAAACCATTTTCCATATAATGGTTTGAAATAAAAAACTGGTACAAGTTCATTACATAGTACTGCCAAAAACAAAAACAAAAAAAATCATATGCAGCAAGTCTTTTAAATTTCTCCAGCAAGATCTTTTGTGTCAAATTGCTTCAGCAAGACCTTTTGGATGCATAACTAATACTCCTCAGCTACTTCGGGGAAAAACACTACATTCACATTTACAACAAAATTAGCACCAAATTCGAAATCAAAAGTAAGATTCGCAAAAAAAAATATTGAAATTAAAATGCCATATTACAGCTCGGTTCGCACAAAATTGGAACAAAAATCTCAAAATTAAACTACGGTTTAAAAATACCTATTTGAGGGCGTCGACCAAGGTTGCAAGCTCTTTTTTCGTCGTAGGGAAGCATCGAGGTTGGGTCGTAGAAGGCATCTCAAGTCCTTAGTGTAGTGTTGAGATTTTAAGCGCGTAATATACCGAAAAATATTGAGAACTTGAAAAATAAATAAACACAATACACAAGAAGAAAATATGAGAGAAAAATTATATCTTCACTATTTCAGAACGATACACAAAAAACTCTCCCTGTTTACAAGTGCTAAATACCACACTTATAAACAGACTTTTCACACCCTATCCCCGGATGTATTTTTTCGAGTAACTAAAACCAGTTACTCCCTACACTCACTCACACAATATTGGTGATATCTTGTGTAGCACCTCTCTCTTCACACCCTTTCCTTCTTTTTCTTTAGCCGTGTGTATACTTACTAAGAAGACCATGCATGGCTTTTAAAGCCAAGGGAAGTACTCCTGCAAATGACCACAAGCACAAGAGTCCAAAATTTGATTCCCTTCCATCAAAAAAATCCACACGCAATTTGATTCCTTTGATTTCTTTCTTTTCTTTTTTTTTGTTTCTTTTGATTATTTAATCAAATATCCCAACAAACTCCACCTTGATTAATTAATCAAACCATGGTCCGGCTCCACCCCGCTCGTTCCGGCGAGGTCACAATCTCCACCAACTTGAGAAGCTTCAAATGTCACCCGCTTCTTCCATGCAAATCTCCGCTCGTTGCACTTGTAAATTTTCCTTCTGACAACTTCTGTGTCAAATCTTTTCCTACAAGTTTATACAAGCCCTTTGACAAAACTCTTTTTGCTACCACCATTGCTCCCCTTGAAATTTTTAACACTCCACTTTGAGCAAAAATTCGGCAGCCTTTTGAATCTAAAGCCCCCAATGAAATCAAATTTCCTTTTAGACCTGGTACATGTTTCACTCCAGTTAATGTTCTCACCATGCCATCAAACATGCGAACTTGCACTGTTCCGACCCCTGCAATTTTGCTCCGTGCACCATTTGCCATCTTCACAGCACCCCCATCACAAGTTTGATACGTATCAAATTGTTCCTTAACTGAACACATGTGAAACG